GAAATAATATCTTCTCTGAATTTAAATATTTTTAGGTCTATTTGTTTGAAAAAAAATAAAATTAACCTAATATACAAAAAATTAATTTTATAAAATTAACATAAAATAAAAATTTAACACAAAAACGAATCAAGACAAAAAAAAATCAATTATACATCTTTAGATTTACATCTTCCCCACTTGAGCAAAAACTATATTTACAACCCTTGGAGATGTAAATGGATGTAAAAGTGGCTTTATACCCCCTGAAAATACACCCTCCACTGTGGATGCTTTAAGATTAAGGCTTCCAATTTGATGGGGGTTGGGAATATACTAGAAATATGTGTAATTCTAAAAAATACTCCTCTTATCATCATGTATTTTCGTTTTGTCAATTTTTTTAATCATTTTCTTTTCGGTCAAATTTATTATCACGTCAATTAGATTAAACCAAATTATAAGGCTCTAGCAAAGAGACAGTTGCCAGAAATGCCGTTAATGGATTCAAGCCTGCTCCGAAACTCAACCCCATTTACACTTGGACCCCTACCCAACCTCCTGAATAAAACCCAGAAATGCCGCCACTCTCTCTCTTCATTCTCCCTCCCAACAAATTCTCGCAAACACCTCTTCATGCGGAGAAGTGGCAGTAGCAGCGGACCCCGAAACGACGTCACTTTCGACGAGGCGGCTTACGAAGCCGAGCGGCTCAGCCTTGACGCCAAGGCTCGAGAAGAAATGGCTGAGACTTCGAAGATTGAGACCCAGCAAAGTGGGGTTGCCGAAGACCCGAAAGCTTGGAAATGGGTGATCCGGAAGAGAATTTGGGACATGATGGAGGCCCGGAACATAGCCCAGAATCCGCGCCCTGTTCACCATCGCATCCCAAACTTCGTTGGCGCTGCAGCTGCTGCGGATAAAGTAAGAGCACTTTGGAATTTTTTTTTTATTTTCTTCGTTTTTTTTTATTTTTTGGGTTGCTGAGAAATATAAAGATAATTGTTTTTCTTTATTTTAATAATGTGGGTTTTAATTAAGAAAATAAATAATGTGAATTTGGGCAGTTGGGTGGGTTGGAAGTGTTTCGGGTCGGGAATTGCGTGAAGGTTAATCCAGATTCACCTCAGAAGCAAGTCAGGTTTCTCACACTCTCTGGTTAGTTTAAGTACTTACGTGCCTACGTATTCATGCGGTTAATATAGTAATTGTATGGAAATGTGAGTTAAGCGAGTTGACGAATGCAGTGTGCTCGGCCCCTTGCAACCCAAGTTTGCTTTGTTAAAAAAAAAAAAAGTAATTGTATATTAATTTTCGTGAAATCATATAAATATATGTAAGAAAATGTATTAAAATGGCACTAAGAGGTTGCAACCCAGATATATACAATACAACTTACAAGAGGAGTTCTAAAAGGTAGTTTCACTTGAAAAATATATTATAAATGTATATATGTTAATCTTGCACAAGATTATTTGGGCCACTTGCAATCATGGTTCTACCTGAAACCTGTGTTGATTGATAGTATGGTTTACCCATGATTCATATACCCCATTTTGCTTATGGACTATCATACGTTTGTGGATTTTACAATGTTTTGGAAGTTGACACGGCGGTAGATAAAATCATATGTTTGCATCTTATAAGCCAAAAGTACATTTGGAACAATTGACAGTTAACTGCTTGAATAAGCACAACATGATAGACATACTTCTAACAACACCGGATGATATGTCACCACTCAGTTAAAACTTGGCTCAGAGAACCTTGAAGGATGGTTGTACAAATGAATTATGAGTTGTATTAATATTTTATGAAAATTGAAAATTGTTTCTATGTGCACCAGGAACCAGTAATGCCTACTGTTCTTCACTTCAAAATCCAATTTAAGACCCTTGATTTTGTGCAGGTGAGAAGAAGTTGTTAACTCCGCAACCCCGTTTAAGGACTGGGTTTTTCTCCATTCTTGAATCCCATATGTTGACTCCTAGTACAATCAAAGAGGCTTGCACCTCTGTTGGGGTCGCCAAGTATGGGCGGGCGATTGGATTAGACGAGAAAATCAAGGTTGATCTTATTGTCATCGGCTCAGTTGCTGTTGATCCAAGGACAGGCGCTCGACTTGGCAAGGGTGAGGTAATCATACTATGGAAAGTGTTTGCTTACCCTTGTCATACTTTCTTAGAAACGCATACTACAACTCATTACTGCAGGCATCTTGTTTGTTTGTCCTAGCTGTACTTTCTTACAGCATTTTGGTTCTGGACGCAATGTCAGGTTGCTTTATCACTCTAACTAAATGGACGAGGATTTGTTATCAAAAAGTGAAATGAATAGTGATTCAGACCTCTAATCCTAGGAAAAAGTTTGGTTAGTATTTAAATGTCATTAACTCATTTTATGGAGTACAAGTAAGAGACGGTTTTTATATGTGAAGTTTAAGCTTGTTCAATTTGAAATTTTGTCTTGGGTAGTGTCGTTATTGAGTCATTGACATATTCAGGAAGTGGGTAAAACTTAGTCAAGTCTTTTGTTTAATGATAAAGTTGGGGTGCAGGGATTTGCAGAACTTGAATATGGGATGCTGCGATTCATGGGAGCCATTGATGACTCAACACCAGTTGTCACTACGGGTAAGTGTGGTTTCTTTTCTGCTAATCCTCGTGTTTCTTTTATCTGGTTCAAGAGGAGTTAATTTGTGTCTGTTTGCATGCGTATTCCATCCTTTGGGCAGGGGACATGAAAGGTTTGCATTTGAATATTACTTTTCATGTTTCAACTTTTGTTCTGTCGTCTTTAGTTCGTCAATTGGGTTCTTCCTTTTCTTCTAAATATTACTTTGGCTACTTTTTCTGTTTACATCATATGTGAAATGCGAAATTTCTTGCAGTGCATGACAGTCAATTGGTAGATGATATTCCGATTGAGAAGTTGTTAGTCCATGATGTACCAGTGGACATCATATGCACTCCAACCCAGGTCATATTTACCAACACATCAATTCCAAAGCCTCAAGGTTGGTGAACTTCTGCAATTTGCTTAATTTTCTTTTTCCTTTCTCTGGGAAAATAGTTTTCCTTGAAGAGTTAGTTGAGTACATATCCTAACTTCCCTTGATATTTGTAATTTGTACCATTTTATGACGGGATTGGTTAGTCAGAGTACCGTCTTACAGTACTAGATGATATTCTTAATACCAATATTTTTATGAGTATAGGGATTTACTGGGACAAATTGTCCCCTGAGAAGCTCGGGCAAATTAGAATACTTAGAGAGCTCAAGAGAAGGATTGAGAAGGAGACTGGACAAAAGCTTCCATGTGGTCCATCTGAGAAACTGCCTCCAACAGCTAGACGAGGGAGATAACTGATTTGTTCTTCAAAGAAAATTAAATGGTGCAACAAGAAAGAAGAAGGAACAGAAAAATTCAATGTATAGACCATTTCTGTTCTGCACTAATAAATGTTCATTCCTTTCTTTTTACATGTATAACGAATTGCACAGACGAAAGGGAAAAAAAAATGTAGCTACATAATCCATGACTCGCTTTCTTGCAGCTTGCTTGGTACTGTTGTCGGGAAAGGTTACAACGATTATGAATGCTTGTGTGAGAGGGTAGAGGAGTGTGATACATGATATTTGAAGTGCCAAAATCAACTCCCTTGTTTATTAGCCATGATTTATGACACAGGGTGTAAAACTTGAGTTTGGATCGTTTCGTTTTTAAAGTTAATATTGTGCTTATGTTCAAAATAACCTACGAGCTTGTTAAATTCTAATTGCTCCGACCTCTGCGCAATTTTGAACGTAAATAGAAGATCTATATGAAAATTAGAATTTTATTTTGTAAAAAGTGCGGTAGACATGAAAAGCGGATTTCACGAATGCTTGTATAAGAAACCTCTGAGAACGGGCAACAGAATGTATCTGCACATCATTTTCACTGGATTTGTACCATACTAAAGTTACTCGTACTACATACATAATATTCTTATGGACTTTTTTTTTTCTTGCTGTTGCAAAAGTCTGTTTTTCCGTTTAGAAAATCTTGTACAGGTAAAAGTTCTTCATTCACACCTTTTTTTTTTTTTTCTTTATGATAAAAGCCTGATATCACTCTTATTTATTATTTATTTGTTTTCCTTTTGTGTTCTTTATATTGTATTGGGTTCTTTGACTAATTGTTCAAAACTTCTCTGTTTTTTTTTTTGGTAAAGAAAAAAAAAAAGAACTCCAGCTTGAGTCTGAGTTTTCCATTTATTTTAGTTTAGTTTATTATAGAACACGATTTCACGCTGCAAGAGTGCATGGAATTCATTAGTTTACACTCCCATCTCATTTCCTTTTCTTAAACAAAAAATTTAAAGCCTGATGGGAGGCCAATTCAGTGGCTTGTCGGTCATGTTTCCGGATAACAAGTAGTCAAAGAACCTGCCATGAATTTCCTGGAGCTTTTGTACTTTCTGCATTATTTTATCAAATTTAACCATAAGAAATGAAGTTTGGATACGTATTTTTCTTCGGATCAAATCAAGCATTCCGAATTAAGGCAATTAATCTCTGTGTCTGCAACGTCTTTCTTGCTCTGGAGGTGATCCCACTGATTTATATCCACCTTGTAGTTGGTAATGTCCCTGACTTATTGCCTTATGAAGTGCTAGTTTCATCTCTATTATAAAGAAATGGTTAATGTGTGCAGATTTTTTGGTCTGATATTTCTATTTAAGTGTAATAATTAAGCCATTATAAGCTAGCTTCGCTAATGTGCTTCTTCTTGTTTTGAATATATATAATGTGTTTGTCAGTGTGCGTAGAGTTGTAGGTCATGAGTATGGCTGCTTCTTGTTCGGCTGCTGCTGCTATCCCTCCTCAAGAAAAGTACGATGTGTTTCTTAGTTTCAGTTGACACCCGCAATATCTTTACCAGCCATCTTCATGCTGCTTTACTTCGGAAGAAAATTGTGACCTACATAGATTATAAACTTGAGAGAGGAGACGAAATTGGACCTGCCCTTCTTGAAGCAATCGAAAAATCAAAGCTTACGGTGATCATTTTCTCGAAGAACTGTGCTTCTTCCACATGGTGTTTGAATGAGCTTTTGCACATACTGGGATGCATGGAAAAATATGGACAGATTGTTATGCCAATCTTTTAGAGCATCGATCCATCAGATGTAAGAAAACAGCAGGGGAGTTATGCAGATGCCTTTGCTCAACTTGAAGAACGTTTCAAGGACAGTATCGACAAGGTGCTCAATTGGAACGATGCTTTGACGAAAGTAGCCAGTCAATTCAAAAGGAACTTGGTAACTAACTCTGTTAATTGTCTTAATTTTCACTTGTGACCGTTATATTTATTATTAATACAAGATGGCAGACTTACTAATTATTGTTTGTCCTTCATAATCATATATTGACAGGAGGGAGAACCTTTCAGTTGATAAAGTTGTGAAAGATATTTTAACCAAATTGGATCGGAAATCGTCATGTGATTTAAAGGGCCTGGTTGGAATTGAAAGAAAAATTGAGCAAATTGAATCGTTATTGTGCATTGATTCACGGGATCTTTGCTATGTAGGTATTTGGGGCATGCCTGGTATTGGCAAGACCACCCTTGCCGGTGCTGTGTTTAACAGACTCTCTACTAAGTTCGAGGCTTGTTGTTTTCTTGCAAATGTAAGGGAGGAATCAGAAAGTCATGGACTAAATCAGTTGCGAAATAAACTTCTTCGTATGTTATTAGAGGAAGAAAATCTAAACATTGAGACTCCATCTGTGGGATCAAATTTTGTTGGAGAGAGGCTTGCCTGTACAAAGGTCCTCATTGTCCTCGATGATGTGAACAATCTAAACCAACTAGAACTTTTAGCTGGAGATCAGGACCAGTTTGGCCCCAGAAGTAGAATTACCATTACAGCTAGAGATAGGGTCCTACTTAAGGAAAGGGTTGATGATGAGAATATACATAAGATTAAGAGATTATGTTTTGATGAGGCTCTTCAGCTCTTACATTTGAATGATTTCAAAGGTAACTCTCCTGCAACAAATTATGCAGAGTTGTCGAAAGTGGTTTTAGATTATGCTGATGGCAATCCATTAGCTCTTAAAATTTTGGGTTCCTCGTTCCTTATTGCAAGAGCAAAGAAGATTGGGAAGATGAATGGAACAAATTGAAAAAAATTCCAAGAAAAGAAATTCAGTATGTGTTGAGACTAAGTTATGATGGATTGGAAGAAAATGAGAAGGAGATATTTCTTGATATAGCATGCTTTTATAAAGGGATGGATGTTGATTTATATGCAAAAATAATGTCAGATGTTCATGGTTGCTTTCAGACAGGAATTAGAGTTCTCATTGATATGTCTCTCATATCAATTTCAGAACGTAACTGCCTAGAGATGCATGATTTGCTACAAGAAACAGGTCAAGCAATTGTTCGTGAACAATGTATTGAAAATCCAGGAAAACGCAGCAGGTTGTGGATTGCAGAGGATGTCAAACATGTATTGGAAAATAAGATGGGAAGAAAATATGAACTTTCTGTGAGAAGACATGATGAACAGGTCACGTATGTCTAAAAATGTATTTTTCAGTGATTCAAATTTCATTGTATGTTGTATTCTCATTTATACTTTGCTCTTGGTTGTCAGGGAACAGCAAAAGTTCAAGTCATATTCTTTAACATATCTGAGATTAAAGAGCTACACTTGAGTCGTAAAGCCTTCAAAAAGATGCACAATCTAAGATTGCTATAGATATATAATTCTAGCAATGACAAGTACAGCAAATTATACCTTTCTCAAGGTCCTCAGTATCTTCCCGATACTCTTCGTTATCTTCACTGGGAGGGATACCCTTTGAAAACTTTGCCATCAAAGTTTTTTTCCAGAAAATCTTGTTGAGCTTCGGATGCCCCACAGCCCAGTTGAGCAACTTTGGGAGAATGGCCAGGTATATATGCTTATTCTGTTAATTATTTTAAAAAAAAAATACATATATAACGTTGTCTGGAAAGTTATTACTTCTTTCTATTAATTCTATTTATTTTGTTACAGAATCTTGTGAACTTGAAAGAGATCGATCTTAGTTTTTCCGAGCATTTGACCGAAGTTCCTGATCTCTCTCACAGTCACCAAATTGAAAGTATAAATCTTTTGTTCTGTACAAGTTTGGTTCAAATTCCTTGTTTTTTTTTTTTTTTTTTTGGTTTGAACCACGAGGTGGTCCTGGATGGGCCCCAACTATGGGTGGCACCTTTAAGCCTTAACCACAATCCAGACTAATCCCCGCTCACACCGGGTCGGCCCGTAAGGGGTAAAGTGCTGGCCAAAGTGGTGACTCCATACGAGAGCAGGGATCGAACCCCTGACCTTCTCTTAAGGAATGAGAGTGCCGAACCACTCACACCAACCACCTTGGTTAAATTCCTTGTTATTTTCAATATATGGACAAGCTTACTTCTCTTGAACTTAGTTTCTGTACGAAACTCAAATATCTTCCGGATATGCCATGCAATATGGAAACTTCAATGTTAGCTTGGACTGCATAGAGGAATTGCCTTCATCAGTTTGGTCTAGTGAAAAACTTGATGTCCATCATATTGGACATTGTCTGCATCTTAAGAACCTTCCAAGCAACAGTTGTAAGCTAAAATGCTCCAGTGATTTTACTCTACAAGGCTGCTCATCTCTTGTCAACTTTACGGAGCTTCCCTCCAATATGACAAGGTTAGATTTGAGTGGATCAGCAATAGAGGTATTGCCCTCATCAATCGAGCGTCTCATTAGTCTCACCTCTATTGAATTGAAATACTGCAAAAGGCTTGTGACTCTCCCAGTGACAATTTGTAAGTTGAAATGTCTTGGGAGACTACGTCTCACTGATTGCACTGCATTAGAATACTTCCCAGAAATCTTGGAGCCTACGAAAGAACTGCACTCTCTTAGTTTGGCAAGAACAGCAGTTAAAAAGCTACCCTCTTCAATCCAAAATCTATCCCGTCTGATGACATTAGAGCTCCCTGGGTGCAAAAACCTTGATTTTGTCCCAAACAGCATCTACAATTTAAGCTGTCTTGACATTCTCAAGCTTGGTGGCTGTTTGAAACTTCACAAAAGTTGCCTCCCTTCTCAGTCGGTTTTAGCTGTTTAGAAGACCTAGACCTCAGTTACAGCGGTATATTAGAAATACCTGATCGCCTCATTTGCTTAAGCTCATTGATAAAGTTTGGAAGCATGATTGAGAGCATACCTACAAGCATCAAACAGAGCTTCAGTCTTTACCGGAGCTCCCGGCCTTATTTTGTCTTGAAGCACACGGCTGCACGTCATTGAAGACAGTGTCTTTTCATTTCTTCCTTCAACATGCTTGAAATATAGAGAGTTATTATATCCAATCCAATACTAGCGACCAAACAAACCCTTAAGGTATAAATAGGACTTTTGAGAGAGAGATTAACTGCACGTTTATTTACAAGTAATGGTAAGTGAACATGCCGAAGGTTTGGACGCAACACAACCTCAGTAATAATGGCAGAGCAGCTTGTTCAGCCACCAAATGGCTAAACTAGTAAGAGGAAAATAAACAGCAAAAGACAAAGCAGTAAAAACTGTTTTAAGAAAAAGAAAAAAATGAATTGAATATTAGAACATATCGCTAGAGGAAGGGATTGAACCTTCGACCTTGTGGTTAACAGCCACACGCTCTAACCAGCTGAGCTACTCCAGCTGATTGGTAATTATGCACAAAGTTTCATACAAGAATTAATCGCGTCATATTTTTCACGTATAGAGCCTGAGCTCATCCATCCGCTTTCAATTGCAAAGGCGCTTTTATTACCAAATCTTTGTTAAAATCTAAGCTTCAATTCAAAGCACTTGAAAGTGCTTCTTGAAGTAACACCTAGTAGGTGCTTCTCCAGAAATAGTTTTAGTTATTTATATCAAACACTGCCAGCTGAAGAAGATATGGCATCAATTCAGTGTAAAGTCAACCGGACCAGAGTAATTTGGATGGAACTTTGAGGGGCAGAGTAATAAACATATAACAGCAGTGCTGCAGCTGTATATTCCCTTTACAAAGAAAAAGAGACAAAGAAATAAAAAGAAAATACACTGAATATACATCATAGCATTGAAAAAGAGTGCTCAACATACAACATTAGGTAACCTACATAACACATACAATGGCAGGAATGAAATTCGATTGGCAACCCCAGCCAAGAATCAAAGAACAACTTAAAGTTCCTCAGGTCTCACGGTACTCTAGCTTTTCTCATGTCTAGCAGTATTCTATCTTATCACGCACAACCGCTGGGATCCATATCAGAAACGCCATATTGTGTGCGTCTGCACCTGCCCTATAAGCCTCCAGATCATTTGTTTTTACAGGGACACCATTCTGTTCAACGGTATCCTATCATTTTGACGAGGAGGAATCCTTTCAATTGGAGATATCACCTGTGGCATCGTCATACCAACTGAAATTATGATCTCTGCATTTCAGGGAGAAATATTGTCAAACCATCATGCAATAATAAACCATTTGCCACAAGTGCTACTCAACAAAAAGGTCTTGAAGATTTCTCTAGGAAAAAAAAATATACTAATCGCAATCATCCGTGGTTAACTGCCAAGTAAAATTAATTTTGTTTTTCACCCGAAGAAGTGAAAGGATTCAGTAAATGCAAAGTTAAGCATAATGGCAAGCTGTGCAAAGAAAAAATCCACCAAGTAACGGGATCTGTGTGAAAAAGCATTCAATCACATTGAAATACAAAGCCATGTTTAATATACAGCAAAATACCTGAAACCGAATTTCCTCCACTGAATCAAATCAAGGATAAAGGACCAAGAATGCAATTATTATTTTTGTTTATTTTCTAGCATACAACACCTTAAACTGATTACTTTTCAATTTACACCTACCTCTTTAAACACTTGACCGACAAAGAGAACTATTTCTATCTGAAAGAGCCATCAAGGAACTTCCATGGAACAATTGGCTTTTGATGAAACACCAGAATATGAGGAAACAGACTCATACATCATAATACTTACACTGACAACCCAGTAAAAATTCAAAACTATTTCAACCAAACTTCTTATGATTTGTTGTCCCTCAGTGACCTAATTCCATAAAAGCCAAGCTATCTTCTCAATATACTTAATGCCACTTAGGAAATCTCAGTCAATTATGTAGATAGGCATCAGTGCTTATTCACGTGTTTTCATTAAATTGTCAATCTAAGTTTTGTATAGTTCACCAAGGATCAAGATTTAAAATTGAGGGTGCATTTGAACTAATCCGTTAATGCGAACACTTCAGAAATATAAAAAAGAAAACACTGAACATATAAACATATCAAACCTCTTGAAACATAAATCAGAATCTACTAAGTGTTTGAAGTGTTCAATTTTGTATTAGTCTATATATATGTATATGCATATGGTATAAACAGGACAAGTTAAATAATATTTGTATCATACTAGTCTATGCAAAAAGTTTCTAGTGAACAATATTTTCCTCCTCAATTGGTATTAAATAAATGGTAGTTAGTTCTTTATTTAACAGCCACTAAGAATAGCAGTTTTCATTGCCAAGCCTCCAACAAAAACAAGGTGAAGCCAGAGTCTTAGTGCACAATCATGAGGAGACAGACAAAAGCTAGCCAGGATTTGGCATCCTTGTATTTGAAGAAACTAAGAGCTCCATAAACAGGGGTTTTTATGAAATCATTCTTGAACTCTTTCTACAAGAACTAACAGGACATTCTTTAGCTTACATCAAGACTTGAATCTAAAACCTGGGTTGCCCGTCCCACAGAATGCCACTTGAGCTAAAGCTATGAGTTTTGTCAACTTTATTCCTGTTTAGGTTAATTTTGTATGCTACTTTACTACCAGAATTAGAATCGCGTCTGCTAAACCTGTAGAACATCCGAAAATCATAGCCAATAAATATTTATCCATCAACCTTTATTTGTTTCTTTCTTTGCTGAAGAACCATTAATCTTTTTGTTTTACTTTTGCATAAACCCCATTAGCTGTTGCACTGGCCCATTAACGTTAAACATAGGATTCCCCGGTTATAATGTATACAGGTTCTCAACATCTCCAGGAGCTATTATATTAGGGACCCATTTTCTCTTTTTGTCTATAAATTTTAGAAAACTC